GATTAAGGGGAAAATTATTTTGTTGATTTGTGACATTTTATTGCAGCGAATTTGTCAACACAAGAATAACACCACAAAAAAGGAAACTTTTTTTCTTCTCTCACTCGAGTTTCAATTTTAAATGGGAATCTTGTTATGTTGTTGTTGTTGTTTTATATTTTGTCGCTCTTTTATTCTCAAACTTTTTTTTTTGCTCGTGCGTTTTGAATTGTCGAACTGGGAAATGGGAAAATAGCGAGAAAGGAACAAGAGGGGACGATGAATTTGGTGCTTGTTTGTGGCAAAGTGAGGAGAAACACATTTTTCAACGAGAATAAATTGCCTTCTGTTTTTAACACTTAAAATTTATGTTCATTGAACATATCATGTGATGGAATTAAAGATGACAATTTTCTCGCTGAATTGTGTAATTCCAATTTACTGCAGCAATAATGGCAATAATATAAGAAATGAAAAATATTTTCTTTATTGATGGTACTGGCAATCGCTTTTGCATGCCTGAAATTAAATGAACTGATGCATTTTTGTGAACACGAACACAGAGTCGCTTCGATGTACACAAAGATCAATTGAAATTTCGCTTCAATTCGATTGCATATTTCTTGAACGGATGAATGCTTGAATAAATGCTTAAAATGCAAATTATGTTCTAATCGTCTATTTTAACTAGCCCAAAATTCACAATAAGCTGTTACCACCACCAATGTACATAATATTGGAATTTTACATTCAATTCCAAACTAATTGAACAGATTAAACAAGTTTCAATGCTCACACTTCAAAATGTGAATTACAAAATATGATTTGCTTGTCGACTGAATGATATTGTTAGAGAATCAGTAAACAATGGATTTTCTCAAATGCAATTTAAATTGATATTCAATGCTTGTCCCCGAATCTCAAAAAAAAAAAAAAAAAACTACTGCTAAATGTTAAGAAACGAGCGGCATATCACGAATTAAATTTCAGTGAACTCATAATTTTTGGCTCAAAGCAATTTCACATCTAAAAAAATAGTTGACAAATTTGGTTCAATTTTCCAAATTTATTATTGTGCCGTTTCTGTGTATTGCATTATAAATGCTCAAAAGCAATAAATGATTTGAATGTTGGATAGATTTGATGAAACAATAGCAAAGGTTTGGCAATATTTCCATTTTATGATTGCGATGGGTTTTTTTTTGTTTCGTTCTTTGTTTGTTTGATAAAATTTCGATCTATATATAAATGTGTGTGTGTAGTGTGTATAATGTATATATGCCTATGTTCCGTTTTATTGATGTCGATGTCGATGTCGATAGCAAATAAAGCAATCCATCTAATCTCCGATTTTCTGTTTTCATATACATTGAGAAGACGCTTTACTGTGAATTGGATTTTGGGCTCCATTTGCATAACAGTAGAATTCAATTTCCTCATTTGGCTTGGAATTTATTTTTTTTTTCATTCTTGTAATTCATGGGATAGCTTGTTCAAAATAAACACATCCAATTTCGAGTGGCCGTTCAAAGGAAGGATATTGAATAAAATCCAAGATCAATTTCCAATTAACATACTTGTCGACTTTACAATTTTACTCGTGTCCAATGTATGTGTGTGTGTACGTAAGTGTACCTATATGGTATCATAAGACGAACCGAATGAACAAGTAACCGAGTGAATAAGTATATTGGAAACGGAATGACTATGAGCAGCGGCGTCTCAGTGAAAAACACATGTAACGTGATTTTACAAAAGGCAATCGTCATGATCATAGTCATCGTTAATGCGGTTATATTATTGCTGTGGCAAAACAATAGCAACAAATGCAAGCAAAATCATGCTAAAACAAGAAATGGCATAGGCAACACACCACTCAATAACCGAGCATCATCACTAAACATTTACATACATTATGTATTTGGATGAGCGTGTGCTGTAGATGAAGATAGAGGCTGAGAGAGAGAGAGAGAGAGAGAGAGAGCGAAAGAGCGAGCAAAAGATAGAAAGTGGGTGTTTTGAGAATATGCATGCAATACGATGACACAGAAAACTGTTAGGCTTCGAATTGATTACAAATAAATGTTCTTCTAAAACTTTATGTCTATGTTGGCTATTCGACGAATTCCATACATTGACGGCACATTTCTCACTCTTGTTCAATCCCATTCCAGAACCCTCGCACACATACACACTTAAGGCTCACTTACTTTTCTGAAAGCAACCGTGCAATTTAACAGCATTATATTTGCGTATCGTATTCAACTACTACCATTTATATACCATTTATTTCGAGTCGAAAGTAACTAAGCTCTATTTTTCTGTCATTCGTGTGTGTGTGTTTTTTTTTGTTTTTCGAATTGGCCGAAAATTCCATAGCGCTATTGTCTTTTGTTTTTGCATGTGCTTCATGTGGTTGTATGTGCTCTGTTTCTCACTTCCACATGACATCGATTTGGTGTGCGTTTTTGTATTTGTTCAATGTATAAGTTCTCGTTCGAATAGTTTGTATGAAAGTTTGATGTGTGCTATCCGCCATGCAAACGATACGTTTCGCACCGAAAAGACACAGACAGATAAGTGATCTGAATAGATGGGCACTGACTATATTCGGCAGAGGCGAAGAAAAAAAGAAACTACAAAAATTCATGTAACATTCTGGGCAAAGAAATTAAATTGTGGAGGCTTGTGGGAAAACTAACCGCCACGAAACAGAGACGAAGATGTGCACACAGGCACCATAGAACAAAAAAAGAAGCTGAGAAGTGTGATAGAGAGAGATGCGAAGAGTATTGCGAACAATACTCTGAGAGCAGATAAGAATATAGTTCACACTTGATACTTACACATAATAATGGTTGTGGGTTTTTCTATTCATTGCTGTTTAGTTACTTTCTATAATTGTAAGTTTGATGTTATGCTTTGAGCAAAATTGCGGTGAGATCGATTTGAACACAAAACGTCGTTTTATAGACCATAAATACTATACACATATAGTCAAACATACACACTCATTCGACACTTACTATCGGCCTTTGTGTTGGCACGATGAATCTCTAGTGCAATTCACAATGGAATGAAATAAATGGAATAGCATTTTCTAGCATTTGAAGATCCCATATAAATACATGCACACTCCAAGCTACCAAACCAAAATACCCCCAATAATGCAGTATGAGTGAGTATTTCTCTACAATTCGTTGTGACGAAGCCCACAGATAGAGTGAGAGAGAGAGAGAATAGAAACAGATGAGAGAAAAAAAACGAAGTGAAAATCTATAGAACCAACATCCATTTAGATACACGGAAGGATTCAGTGTTCATTGAGGGCGTTCAAACGACGGACTTTGAGTGCCGTTCACTTTGTTCCTAAAGAATGTTCAACAGAATGAGAATGATAGAAAGAGGAAAAAAATCGGAATTCAATCGAATTTCTGGGCATTCGTCTGGTTTCAAAGAGTTTTCAACATCAGCAACCACCGAAAATTAATCGATCTGTAAAATAAAATTAGTTTTGAACGTGTTGGTAAGTGAAGAAGTACAGTCAAGTTGATGACGACGAACGGTAGCGACAAAGAGAGAGAAAAAAAAGGATGTTTGCAAGTTTTCTTTTTCTCATCGATTCGCCTTCGTTCACATTTTTCTGGCCATTTCTTTTTATTTTCTGTTGTTGTCTCGTGTGTGTGTGTGTTCAGTACGACGATTATATTTTCTTTGATTTCTCTTTTATTTCGTCATCGGCAATATCACCTTCTTCTCTTCTTCGTTGTTGGTCGATTGTGTTTTCAAGTGAACGCATTTTATACAGGATTGTTTAAATACACACTCGCATATATGTGCGTTGGAATGTTTGGTTACATTTATACATGTTCCTTTTTTCATCCATTTTTTTCCTCTCTTCTTTTAAATAAAAATATTACATTTTCCAGGGGCGACCAACCCGTTTGATAAAATATTTAAAATATTTGTAACATAGCTGAGGGGAGGGGAAGGTACAATACATTCCGTGTGTATGTATATGTGTGTATTGTATTTCAATGCGAAAAAGAGAGATATATCAGAGTGCACACATTTTCTCACTGACCATTTTCACTTTGAAAGCCATTGAAAATAGAAACATTTCCAACTGGAAAACATTCTAAACGATATAGAAATACAAAACGAATACCAAACATTCTTGGAATTTCATTTCTTCGGGTAAAAAGTTTTCAACACAGCAATACAAAAGACTTAACTTCTTCTTTCTCATATTCAGTGCGTTTTCTACCTCGCCCTTCTGCCCAAAAGTATGTGTGAGTGGGTGTTATTTCTTTATATATATCCATCCTATTACATTTACTAATATTAATCTCATGTGAGAGATTGAATGGTACTGCAGCAAGTGTTTTGATTCGTTTCGGTTGTGTGTGTTTTTTTTATGATTTCATTTGATTTGATTTTATTTAGTTATTATATCGTTTAAATGTTCACATTGATATGATGACATCAACTGATACTGATATTGATTGCATGCATCACATATTCTTTTGTTCGAACAAAAAAAAAACTTTTTATTTTTAATCTGTTTCAAGATTTTTTTCTGAATACTTCGTTTCACACCTTTTTTTTGCATGTCGAACTTGGAACTCTTTGATTTCTTCGTTTCTTTTACCGAATTTTTATTGGATTCGTTTTACTTTTTCTCGTTTCAAACCAACTTTATCGGACCATAATCGAGCATTTCTCAACGATTGGGATGAGAAATGAATTTATCGCATTTTAAGTTGATTGGAAGACACTTTTCACATTCACATTCACATTTTCTTAAAATGTCTACCATTTTCTTTTCATTTGATGGGAAACCCTCTTTTTTACTAGCAAATATACAAATTTTTCCCATTGAAATTCACATAAAAAAAGACTGTCTCTTTTTTCGATTCAAAATTGACGCGACTCTTAATTAAGAGACGATTGTTTCTTTCTGTTTGGTTCTTTTATATGTTTTTTTCTTGTGTGCTTGTGCGAAAATAATTGATAATTACCTGGCTTGTTACTCGAGCTCATTTGTTGTTGTTGTTGACATTGTTGCGGCTGTTGTTGTTGGGCATGAATTTGATGCTGTGGAGTGGTTTGAGCATGTGTTGGATGTATAGCCAACAATTTTGCTTCTGTGAATGGGCAGAATAGAAAAAAATCTTTAAGTTAGCTAAATGCTCAGATGCCCGGCTTGATTTTGAATCGCTTCAAATGGCAAATGCCACACAATTTAAATGCGATGATAACAACAAACAGACCCAATCACCCAAAAACAAAAAAATCCAATGTTCAAAAAACGATTTTCACAGTGTCCACAAACAAAATTTGAAGATGTGAAATTTATTGTTTTTCGTTTCGATCATTGGTCATATAGAACATTTTTGCGAATCAATTTTCGGTGGTGGTGGTGGATAAATTTTGTGTGCATTGCAAAATGTTGGGCATTTTCGTTTGAAAAATCGATTCAAAATGTGGCCGAAACAACTTGGTGTTTAGCTAAGATTGTGCATTTTTATCCTATTCGGCTGTTCACCTGGTGGCTTATGTGGTCCAACGGCAATTGGCGGAGCACATGCCATCGTTGGTGCTGGCATCATTAGGGTTGACATGGCCAACATTTTTCGATTGAATTCAATTTTCGCGGATTTTTGATTAATAATTCACACACTAAATTTGATTGTTGTTTATGCTACCGCGATGTGGTGTAGCTTTTCAATAATAGACGCTTGTTCTCGCTTTTTTTGTGCGTATTTTTCGCTGATGTGGCGTTTCGAATGCCACTGTCTTGATACCTGAAAATAAGATCTATTCGGTCAGGATATAGTAGCGTGCGACTTTCGGGGTTTCGTTCGAAAATTTCTTCTCAATTCTCGTGTTATTGGCTACAAAGTTTTTTGTTTTTTTTTTTTTTCAATTTTTTATCAGCAGGACATCAAATCAGCTTCGGGTATGCTCTTTTAACAAAATTCCTTTTTAATGACTAGTTTATTTTTTTTGTACTTGAATGATTTGCGGTTGCAATTTTTAATTCATATTCCGGTAATGCAACTGTGTCAAACAATTCGCTCAAAAATTTTTAAATGAAAAATTGTATGACTTTTCTTTCGCACTTCAAAACGGTTTTTTTTTGTGATTGATCAAAAATGTTTTTAAAAAATAATCAACTAGACACTTTAACAAATGCACTGAACGTTTGAACAAACAATATCCCCTTTTTCTCTTCGTTCTCGCAAAGTCACTATCGAATTATTGTTATTACACCCAAAATCACTCTGTTAAGTATTTAAAGAAACACGAGACTGACAAAGTCAAGTTATGGAACTTCTCAATTTTTTTTCTTTTCGTTTTCTATCAACCCAGTACGAAATGCACTCAGTTCAATTAAAGTTATATTTGTTTAAAGTAAAGTACCAGTGTGTTTCTCTTGTTTTCTTTTGCTTTCGTTTGCATGTGTGAGTGTCTTATATTCCGTTTTGCACGATGTAACTTTTTCGTTTGTTTTGAACAGTTTTCGATTGCGTTGTTTGCACAATTCTAATATAAGCAATTCCTTTGGATCAATCTTGATTTTGCATGGATATTTTGTGATAGTTTGAGATTTTTAACGCTTTGTTTTTCGCTTCAATTTCGGAAATCAATTAGCTCGGAATTCAAACGTCTTTTATTTACTCGGGATCACAAAAGTTTTTCGTTTGCTGACAAATGTGAAATGTAATGTTCTTAAAAGTGTATTTTATGTAACTCTCTTCTCTCTCTCTTTTTTTTTCTATCTTTGGAGTTTTCTCGTTTTCACTAAATATATAAATTTTTTCGTATCCTCTCTCTCGCACTTTGAACTGCGGTTTTACAACACAAATGAGAAAACGAAACAAACGTAACGAACTGAAAATTCGATTGTACGTTGCCGATTGCAATCGGAAGAGAAAACTTCAGCGGAAAAGTGTTTATCTAGTGAATAACTTTTTTGTTTTCATTAACGAAAGATCTTTTCTTAGCGTGAGATCCGTTTTACTGCTTTCAAAATCATAAATACATTTGTGATGCAACTACGAACGATGCAGAGTAGGCGATTATATGCTTGCGAAAAATCCGTTAACGCTGTTTTATTTTTTTTATTCTCTTGGTTTTTATCAGTTCAGTATTCGGTTTGTTTTTATAGTGATTTTATTTTTAAGTTTTCAGTTTATATCGATGAGTTTCCTTATTTTAATGAAAAAAAAAAGAAATCCGATTCTGGTTGTTCTTTTCTCGTTCTTCTCTTCAGTTATTTTGTATGTTTTTCCTTACGTCTTTTTCTCCGTCGATGAGAGCCAAATTTTTCGGAATATTATGTTGTCGATAATTACTCACGAGTTGTTTTATTTATTTATTTATTTATTTTTTGTTAATTTTTTGTGATATTTTTTTTCGGTTGCGTCAGTTTTGAAACAAAAAATGTCCGCTCCGTGTCTCTTTCCGAAAAATTGTATGAGGAAAGTGATGACAAAAAAATGTGACAAAAATTTCGTATTTGCTGTTCCAAAATGAAGGTGTTTGTTTTCTCTCTTTTTTTTTAACAAAAAAAAGTGTTAAATAGTTTACAGGAACTATAAGTGTATTAATTCTGTTTTCTTGTATATTCTCTGTTTCTCAATGCAAGATGTAATTTTTTTTATGTATATGTATATATTTATAGAAACGTGAATTGAATTTGGCTGAAAAGCGCACACACAGAGAGATAAACAGGATTCGAATTTCCTCACTTGTTCAAAAAAACACGTACTAACCGTATGGCGACACTGCTCTAACTGATTTTATTTTGAAACTTTTGAATTTTCTTGGTTCTCAGTATGGTACACAGAACAGTGTGTCGGTCGAATGAGTACAGCATTGCATTGGCATGGAGTACGGTGTACGGTGTGCAGCAAAAGCAGTAGCGACGACGGCGGCGGCAACAGCAACGGTAACGGCAGCAGCTGAATAAAACAGTGGAAAAAAGATCCAAAGCAAATCATACACACGGCACTGAGAACGCAACACGCATCAAACAACATTTTCGCGCATCGTACGTAGGCATTCGGCTGGATTATACCGACTTTGTGTAATCATAACCACAAGGATGTGTCGCTGAATGTGTGTGAGTGTACGCGTGAATGAAGCATGCGGCGAAAGCATACGAAATACAACATAACAGTGGCACACAGGCGAAGGCGCTCTTCCTTTATCGGTTCGGTATTGTTGCCGTTTCGCATTGAAATCCCCTTTCATCATACACCATCCGACTGGAAAATCCAATGTTCGCTGGGGAAATTGTTAAATAACAAAACGATCCAAAAACTGTGTGTTTGTAGCAACAATAGCGGCACCAAATGCAAACATTACGCAAAACGAATAGTTTTGGGCTCTCATTTTGACTTTCTCTGATGTATAAGTGAAACTTCTCCGGATTCAAAAAATTTATTTCGACACCATTGCCGTTGCACACTAAATTTTTGTGTGATGTATGCGACCAAGGCACAACACACCATGCGAGAACAACAAAAATTATTTGAAAACATGTTGAAACTGAAAAATTCTTTCGAAAAATATTGAAATATGTTTAGTGAAGCATTCGGCACAATAGTCAACGGACGGACGGACAAATAGATAGATGGATGGACATTGTTTAGTGAACACGTTGGTTTTTCATTGAAATGCTCATATTATTCAATTCGATAATTTGCGCATGTGTTGTACTTTCCATACCGTTTCGAATCAAAATTCCAATAAACATTTTCCAGAAATGTTGTTGAGATCGACCGAGTCGCTTTTACAATCGGTAGTAGAAGAAAATTCACTGTGCTGTCGCGTGTATCAGCGAGCGCACGATATATCCAAATGTCGTGTCGGCATTGTCTTATTTAATGAAAGTGGGGCGAATCAAATCAACACGTCCAAAAATACCGAGCATATGCATGGCATTATACAGCCACTAAAATACAAACGGCCGCGTGCAAACACTTAATGCGATTCGATTCGCTCCTTCTTATTAAATTGCTTCAAAAATTCCAAAAAAAAGAGAACATAATTGCAATTGATTCGTTTGCAGAGCAAAAACTATTTGTTGGCTTCCTTTGCGATTATATAATGAACTTCATGAAAGAAGAGAAGAGAAAAATTTCAACCAGCCAGTAACAAAGTATGCTTTTCATGCGGCACATGGTTTTTGGGGAAAGTGCATGGCAAAAAATATCGTCTATGAGATTCTTTCTTAACAAAAAAAACCGCTCTTGAACTGGATGTTGTTTTTTTTCGAAAATGTTTATTGATAAAGTTCTAAAAATGAACTCACTTTTATTCAGATAGTTTGATCAAATTTTCTGCTGTTATTTGCAAACTGATGGATCAAATTTTAATATAAAGCACTCAAAATACGTGAAATATAGCCAGCATATTTCGTGTATTTGTTGAGATTGTAGCATTTTTAGAGAAACATGATTTTACAACTTGGCATTAGAGAAGTACAATCGATACAATTCCTCGATAAACTCCAAATATGCAACTGAAAATTACAATTATATAAGTCAGATCGAAAGTTCAGACATTTTTTTTCATTAAATAGTGAATACATCGTCATCTTAGTCGATGTGCCATCTAAAAAACTGATTTCTAGTCTAAGGAGATTTGTGAGAAACTTTTTTTTTTGCATAACATGCTCTTTCCGAAAATCGCCGCATGAAAATCGAATTTCATTCCCAATAATGGTGAGCAAGGGAAGAAAAAACCCAAACACACACTAAAAGTTTGCGCGGCTTCTCATCTCAAGCATTCCGATGGTATATTGCGAATATTTCGGATATCAGCCAAATGTGCAAGCGTTTTAGTTTGAGTATTTTTGTTGTATTTTTATTCATTCCATTGGAATACGAAAAGTGATTCCACATTTTGACTTTATCCGAATTATTACCCCGATAGCTGAGAGTGCAATCATACCAAATTCAAATGTGAATTTATTAAATAAATTCGCATTTGGTTTCGTTTCTCATCTGTGATGTTTCACAAATGTTTCATGCGCTCGATATTTCTTATTGCATTGTTATCTCGAAATCACTCAACGAATCGGATGCCATTGTTTGGCTTCTCATTGAACTGTATAAAAATTCAAAAAGCTTTAGGATTATATGGTTCGTATTTTTTTTGTTCTTCTCTCATTTCTTCAGCTTTTTATTAGTCTATTAGTATATTAAATGTTTTTTTCTGAGTCTATTTGCATATTCAACTAAAGTTTTTCCCAATGTTTACATTTTAAATCGAAGTTTTCACTCAAGATTAAAATTTATCTACTTCCCTCATAACAATAAAAACCGCAACGATTGTTGTAACCTTCTTCATTTTCAACCGATCATTTTCGAATAGAAAAAGAAGAAGAAGAAAACGAAGAAAAAATAAATTCCAAATAACTCAACATAAATGTTATGAAAATTTTATAAGTTTGTAATTAAATAGTTTAAACTGGCGCGCGCGGGTCTTTCAATTTTCATATCATTCCAAAGTCTCTCTATTTGGCACATCAGTGTGCTATTAACCATCCTCTTCTCTTGTAGCCTCGATATATTCTATATATGATAGAATAGCATCGACGAGTACCAGTACCGTGTGTGTGTGTGATAGCTTTTTGGGTAGGGTTCGTGTCGTTGCTTATGGCAGACGCTTTGCGTGGTGAGTTGCTGCGTTGCACATTCCACAAATAATTAAAGGTGGTGGATTTGCAGATACGACGACAATACACACAATTGTGTACAAACATACCAATTTCAAAGAAAGAATTCCATCGACTCGAGCCAGCTCGCCTCCACTCGTTGAAATATTATACAAATGAGCAAATATTAGAACAGTCAGATTCAGTTACGAGTTATCGTGATTGTTTTTTTTTTCTTCCTCTCTCGTCTCGTGTCTTGATCACATACACACACATTTTTCCTTCAGTCATTCGCATTGTTAAGTGTATTGTTTTTCAAACGGACCGAAATGACTTCAAAATCACAGAAATATTTTGGACATATCAAAGAAATAAAGCAATAACAACAAAAACAACCAGCAAAAAAAAAGAACAACAACAGTGAACTAACGAAAGAAAAATGCAAGTGTTCAGTTGCATTCGCATATCAAATGTATGGAGTGAGTCTTTTGAGTTTCAAATTCTGTGAAAGAGAAGATACGCAACGATGCACCGAATTTATTTGTTCAAACATTGGATTGAATTCTCAAAGAAGTTTACTCAGCGAGCAAAACGAATGGAGAGAAGAGAGAGAGGGAGGGAGAGAGAGAGAGAAAAAAGAGTCGAGAAACGCAACGAAGAATAAGAAGAAGGACGACAACGACGAAAAGATAGAATAGAATGAACAATAAAAATAGAAAGAGAGAAATGACAGCGAATTTTCGAAGAAAATTCAAATGTATAAACAACAAAATGCAGTTGTTGAAATGCTCTCGGATGCATGACTAAGACGGTGTACGTTTCACTGCTGAAAAGCGACAAGTGAAAATAATTCTCAAAGTACATCAAGACGCACACAAACACACACACACACACATAAATGGAAAAAGCGTCGAAACAAAGAAAACAAGCATTTTAATACAAAATAGGTTTGTCGTCGAATGGAAAATCTCAACAACAAGCATTAAGATTAATAATAATTACTATTGTGTGCATTCATGCTAAATCAACATCATATTTAGATTATTTTATGTAAGTGACAACGCGAATTTATGTACAACGACACTCCAACATACATACAACAGCAATTTAAACACACACACTTTTTTTCGACCATCTTTATATCACTTACAAATTTCCATCCTCATTGTTGCTTTCTCTCTATCGACTGATATTTAACCACTCTCTCTCTCTTGCTCTCGCTCTCAAAACTTTTATCTCTATAAACGGCGAACAATAATAATTTACAAAAGTCGCAAGGCATTTTGACGATGGCGATGGTAGTTTTTAAGATGAAACTTCGGATGGACGCGCAAATCTTTCCTCGCGCGAAATTACTTTCCTTTTAATACCGCATTTTTTAATATAAAATTTTACTGTTGGTTCGACTCTTTGCCGAGACTTGATATGGCTGAGGGACAGCGCCAATTTCATGAATTTTTCTTCTTCTTCTTTTTTGTTATTGAGGTCATTGCTTTCGAAGTTCCGTTCAGTTCAGTTGCCAAGCCAAATTTGTGTGGCACATCGTTCACAAAGCAATTATTTTGGCTCGTTTGCAATGTCATTTGCAATTGACTCTCTCTTTCCCTCGAACCTACGATTTCACTTAATTTTAATAAAATCTCATGAATGCCAATGAAATTAATTCGTAGGCAAAAGTTTTTTTTCGGTTTTTTTTAAGCCGATTAATTGGTTGTGATAACATTGTTTATTTATCGATTAAAAAAAAAACACACACTAACAATATAGAGTTGGTTCAAACGAATTTTATTCAATTCAAGTGGTGGCTGCTTAATATGTGTTGAAAAGCTCAAATGATGTGTTGAAAGCTTTTGTTCAATTAAACTTCAATTTTCGCACCCTTGTCTTGATCATAAGAAGCATCCACTTGTTCGTCATATTATCAGACGATTTAATCAACTCTTTCCCTCTCTCTGGCTTTCGCTTCTCTTTTGTATATGTTTTTGTTGCTTTTTGGTTTAAATCAACAAACCATGTGATCGTTTCTCTCTTTATTCCGCTCTCTTAAAATGAAAGGAGCTATTATTTTGGATTCGCATTGCTCGAATATTATTTCAAAATGGAAACAAA